CATGTTCGGCACATTTCTCCAATGTATGAAATTCTATTGTGTTAATATCTTTTTGTTTTAGCAATAACTAGTTGTTAGCAGTAGAAACGTGTGTATTACATTCTACATTTCCCATTCTGGTAGTGGAAGTCTCATGCATTGAATGTCAAAAAACTGGGCTTGGCTAATGGGCATGGGCAAACCCATACATGGTCAGATTTTGCTTGGGATTCTATTGCCAGAGCTGAAAAGTAAAGTACCTGATTTTTCCAGCAGTTATGCAGTGTTAAGTATATATCCCTTAAACATAAATCAGGAAAGTATGGAAATACATGGTACATTTCATAGGCAAGTGTTTGTGACAGCTCAGGTTTTTTGTTCATGTTTGAAGAAAACACCTGAAGGGTGGTCAGTTAATAAACTGTTTTCACACAATGTCCATACAACTTTTATTCAAAATTCACACCTTTTTTTTAATTGGATGCCATGGGGTTGATTTACTAGAACAACAGGCTGTTCACTTTGCAAGGGAAGTTCCACAAATTGGAATTTACCTCTGAGCTTAGTGAATGAGATTAAGCTCTGCTGGCTTCCATCATCCAGTCATGTGGAAGCAAAAATGCTATTTTTTCATTTCCATGCACTGGATTGGATATTCTTTGCAAAGCGACATTGTACCATATTTATTAAGCTATGGGGAAAGTCCCCTTGCAAAGTGCAACTTCCTTTGAAAAGTGCAACTTCACTTGCAAAGTGAACAGCCTATTTGCCTTTAGTAAATTAACCCCAATGTGTCCATCTTGGCTGAAAGTTGTGTAAATCTTGTGTGATAACATTTAAAAATGGACCTCATCTGCAAAATTCCGCTGTTTTACTCCACCATGTCACTAGGTCACTGAAAGTACTATTATTCCCTATATATGTATGCCCTCAGCTTCCTATATAGGAGGAAATGAGTATTGCTTAAATCAAAATGTTGAACCAAATTATATTGAAAGTACTGAAGCTAGAGGAGCTGAATGGCACCAGGCAATTAGCATTTTCCAAAGGAAATCAGTAATAGCAGCCCCTATATTTCTCTCCTGACATCTTTGCTTTAACCCCTTTCCACTGACTGAATGCATATATGATGCAGAACAGTGGTGGGCTTTAAAGTGTTACTAAACCCACAGCAGTAAAATCAGTCTGTATATGCAGTAAAGCATGCTTGTTACTGTGGAACCTAAGGGGTTAATCGTCCGCATTGTGTATTAAAGTTTTTTGCTTTAACCAGTGCTCTGCTGGACACTGGTAGATGTCACAAGATTGCTATATACTGCTGATGGGAAAAGGTATTTAGCTGTTTATATTTCCGAAAAATTATTGCATTTCCATGTTCTGTGTACTGTGGAAGACTGGATATAGTGAATGCAGAGTCCTGGGTTTAGTAGCACTTTAACTCTGTGCTGACACATTTGGGCCTACAGCCACAAAGCAGTTTTATGCTGTCACTGACATCTCCCAATCACTCCTTACAATCAGGAGCCAGTAGGATCGGCTATCAATCATGTGATCACGGTGACAGCCAGTCAAGGTGACCACTACATCAGGAGCATGCCTACTGGCCACTGATGTTAAGACCCCCTTAAAGGACCAGCTCTTGACAGCAGAAAAGGGTTAGTTAATTAGTGTCTTTTTTCTGACATTACCTTTACTGCCTTATGTTTGCATGTTTGCTATATAGTAAGCTAGAAGGTGTTCTTGTGTGTGTTTGGTGCATTATGTAAAACAGTATGTATTGCAGTTGTCCTTATGTACGGTATGTTGTTAAATAACAGTTGTTTTCTGTCTCAGATTATGACATACAGTATGCATGAACAATAACTTGTGTTTTGTACTGTGAGGGAGTGTGAAAGTCCTTATCTTCAAGCTACACAGGCCTAATTGATATAAATGTCCAAATGAGTACAGTTCCTTTTATTCATACCAATTAATACAAAATATAAAATCACAGCATATTTTTCCATGCTGTGCTACTTACCTAATTATCAGAGCATTGTTTACTTTACACTGCTGAAACAATTACATTGTTTAACCACTTGCCTACCGGGCACTTATGCCCCCTTCTTTACCAGGCCAATTTTCAGCGTTCAGTGCTGTTGCACTTTGATTGACAATTGCGCGGTCATGTAAGATTGTACCCATATGAAATTTTTATAATTTTTTTTCTCACAAATAGAGCTTTCTTTTGGTGGTATTTAATCGCCGCTGGGTGCTTTACTTTTTGCGCTATAAAAAAAAAAGCTATAAACAAAAAAAGTGCAAAAAGTATGGAAAAAAAAAAAGTTTCTTTGTTTCTATTATAACATTTTTCAAACAGGTAATTTTTCTCCTTCACTGATGTGCATTGACGAGGCAGCACTGATGGGCACTGATAGGCAGCACTGATGGGCACTGATAGGCAGCACTGAAGGGCACTGATAGGCAGCACTAATGAGGTGGCACGGATAGGCAGCACTGATAGGCAGCACTAATGAGGTATCACGGATAGGTGGTACTGATAGACAGCACTGATAGGTGGCACTGACTGGCATCACTGTTGGGCACTGACTTGCGGCACTGCTAGGCATTGACTGGCGCAACTGCTGGGCACTGACTGGCACAACCGCTGGGCACTGACTGGTGGCACTGACTGGCAGCACTGCTGGGCTGTACTGATGGGCACTGGTGGGTGGCACTGGTGGGCACAGTTGGGTGGCACTGGTGGGCACAGGTAGGTGGCACTTCTGGGCACAGGTGTGTGGCACTGCTGGTAGGCACTGGTGGGCACTGCTAGGCACAGGTGGGTGCACTGCTGGGCACAGGTGGGCGGCACTGGTGGGTGGCACTGCTGGGCACCGATCATGATGATCAGTGCCCTGATGATCGGTGCCGATCCCTGCTCTGACAGCACAAGCAAAGTGCGGCCGAGAACTGGCAATTGCATTTCCTGGTGATCAGCGTGTCATTGATCACGTGGTAAAAGGCTGCTGTGATTGGCCTTTTACCACATCACGGAGATCGCCAGGTGCGACCCCCCCCCGTGGGCGCGCAGGAGAGCGCGTTCTAGGAGGACATCATATGACGCCCTCCCAGAACTGGCCGACCGCAGTGTAGCTGTCATTCGGCTATCTGCGGTTGGCAAGTAGTTAAATAAAGGAACTAAAGCTGGGTACACACAAGTTGCAGTCTACATTCTCCACTGCAGGTCAGCTGGAGAAGGAAGTCAGGAGAAACTGGATTTCTCTATAATTCCCTCGGTCCCCTGGGTCAGCGTTCCGGTTTGCTTCACTGCACCCAAGTGACCCTGGTGGCCATCTTGGGTCATACAAAGTTTTATTTATCTCCCTGCCTCAGATTTTGGAATGCTGTTTTCAGTTGTCTAGTGTAAGAACAGTAGACCTGTCTGTCAGGGACAGCACTAGCGGCAGGGAGAGGTTCCAGAGGAGGAGGGAAAGCTTAGGGCCTACATCTTCATCTGATGTTAGCTCCAAGGAGCAGGGCCCTCCTTTCCCTCTTGTATTGAACTGTATTGTTGCTGTATTGTCTCCCGTTATATTGTAAAGCGCTGAGAAAGCTGTTGGCGCTATATAAATCCTGAATAATAATAATAATAATCAAGCTCTCTTTTGAGTTGGACTGGCCAGGCTGCACTCTGCCTCCCTTGACAGGTGATGTCTCCAGCTCAGACCTATTTACTGCTGCCTCTCCATTCTGACTGTTGGGAGTTCTCTGGTCAGGTGTGCTCCCTGCCAGGTTGTTGTACTATTTTGCAAGTTCTACAATACATTGTTTGCCGCAATCCAGGATTCTGTATGTTCTTTGTCGCCACACACCACACTGCACCCTTCTAACACACTCAATTTTTTTTTTTCATTTGATTCGGGGGGCTGAATGAAATATAAACAGTCTGATCGCCATACCAACATGAGCGATGCTGGTGTGTCGATTTCCCTCGCTGTATTAGTCTATTCTGACAGGGGTATCGCCCCTCCAAAACATGTTAATTAACTCTTGCAGCCATTGGCTGCAAGCAAGAATCAGATGTGAGTTGGAAGTTGGTTTTCCAGTGTGCCCATTTGACAGCCTTCTGTAAAACAGACAGCTGTACACACAGTCTGAAAGTCCCAATCGGGGACTATTTTCAACCCGTGTGTACAAGCCTTTAGTAAAAGTGAATGTTCACTTTCTAACAAAAAAAAAAAATTGAGCTTAATAAGATGATGTTGTGTTCCCTTTAAACAACCAATCATGTGCTAGCAACAATCCCAATTTTTTAATATTTTTTGCAGATGATTGGGTATTCACAGTGAACACAAGTTCACCTTTTTTGCTCTCGTTTACTTTCCAAAGATATTATACACTGTGGAAGTGTGTACTCCTTAAGTAAATCAACCCAAGTATATTGTTTAAAAAAGTTTTTGTTTTTCTGCAGTATTTCCACTTGAATGTAAGATTATTATAATTAAAAATAAGGCTATATTGTACAAATATTTGCTTTTTTATAGACCTATTATGGTAAAAAAAAACAAGCAAAAAATACAGCCTTTGCTCAATAGCTTGACAATAATTTTTGCTAAGCTACAACATTAACAATAGCATGGTGTAACATGTATACAGCAAAGTTTACTGCTGAAAAAAATACCAAATATATGTCACATCTGTGGTTTTAAATTGCTATGTTACAATTGTATGCATGATTAAAATAAATAAATAAATACACTTACCTTCCTATATCAATACCTAAACCATATTTCATTGCCTGTCAAAAAATAAGATCTATTGCAACCCTAGAGCGCAACCCAAAAGCTGAAATAGACCTATTTGCATGTTCTTTGGGCCTAGATTCATAATGTTAGCAGCTAAGTATTGCTCTGTGTTAATAAATAATGCTGCTGTCATAGCTCTGATTATTTGTTTTTACAGGGAGTTTTGCCTTTGGGCCACAGAGCAAGACTCAAGGAAAAGGCAGCTGCAACAATCTCATGGTCACCAACAGTCCAATGATGGTGCAAAGACTGGGCCCAATATCCCCTCCAGCAAATCAGGCTGCAACAGCGTGCAATCAGATCGGCCCCAGCTTACAGAGGAATCTAAACCTCCAGCACTTAGCAATACCTCCATCTGATACCAGGTCTTTTAACTAGTTTTTACCATTACCAACTTTTTTAGACAATGTATTTTGGAAATGATTTGAGTGAAAATATAGTCTGACATAAGTAGAAAGCAAATATGTCATGTTTCTAGCAATTCAATGTGGTACCACCTAGAACACGTGGCTCATACTAAAGGTGTTATGATAGATGGGTTCAATCAAAATGAAAGCATGTACAGGAACATAAGCTATAAGGCAGAACCTCCCAAATCAATTTTCCAGATCTCCTGGAAGACAATGTTTTCTAGACCTGGTCCCAATCACAGGTGAAATAATGAGTTTGCATTATTTACATGGTGAATAATCAAGACAGCTTTGCAACTACTGAAAGTCTGGAAACCATATTATTTTGGTGGTTGTTTTGAGTTGAGAAACACTATTGTAAGAAATACTGGGCCCCAAGCCTAAATGTTTTTCTAAATCATCTGAACAAAAACAGTGCCTTGGTTGTCTGCAACACCTAATCAGATTAAAAATGGCATCTTTCCACTACTGGCTGAGACAGTAAAAACAAGAATCTGGTGGCTATGCACTACTCAGCCAATTTACTTTTAGACACTTTTCAGTGCTCACAAGCTCACTAAAAAGGCAAAGAGCAGAATCATAGATGAAGATCATTGTTATGTGATATTTTCACGTTACACATGTGATTACTGTGTGTGAAGACAACAGAGGGTGCTGCAGAATAGTGATGAAATACATCTCTATGATGTGTTGTTTCTCAGCCTAAACTTCTACTTTTACTACCATTACTATTAGTGACAACCAATTGCTATCACAATCAAAACTGTCAAATGTTTCGGAAAGTATTGCGTTTGAATTTCCCTAACACTAATACATTTATCAGTTTCCGTTTGTATCTTAGGAAGTGTAATGACATATATTTTATATACTGTATATAAAACTGGTACATAAATCTATGACTTTTCAACATATAGAGATATACAGGTTCAGATGCAGATTAGAGAGACAGAAGAGTCATATATAAAAATGTTTGTGACATTCAGTAATATGTTTATTATGCATCCTACAATTTATCAAATTTTTTTTTGCTAAAACACAAACCTAAAACCTCTGTGCTTTAACATGAATCACACTGCATCTGAGCACCACAAAGCAAAAAAATGCTATTTAATTAATGTTTAATATTCAGAGAAAACTCCCTCATCTATCCATGTCTCCATGCTTTATTTTGCTGAGACATCACTTTGAAACACATCCCCTAGCATTTCTGGCTATGGCCATCTTAAGTAAGGGCAGATGATTCATGTGGCATTGACTTCCTGAAATCCCTCTGCCCTTAGTTCAGGCATACAAGCAGGCATACAAGCAAGAGGGAGTGCTTAGCGGAGAAAACCCCTCCTCACCTCCAGAAGAATCCTGGGATGTATGACATCATTTGCCTAGGCAAGAAACCAGGAAGTAGCTGAAGAAATGTAAAAAATTTTTTTAAAACAAGTAAATATGATATACGTTCCTATCTATTTACTAATGCTAGCAGCATAAGGATTTAAAATAGTCAATGTTGACTGAGAGAGTGAAGTTCCACCATAATAACCATTATTGTAAAAACTGATTTCTACAAGAGTGTGAATTCATATGTCTATAAAATAATATGGCTAAATCACATCAAAGCTTTATATATAATCCTACATTGATCAGCCATTGGTACAAAAATATATTATTATTATTATTATACATGATTTATATAGCGCCAACAGTTTGCGCAGTGCTTTACAATATAAGGGAGACAGTACACTTACAATACATTTCAGTACAGAAGGAATAGGAGGGCCCTGCTCGTGGAACTTACAATCTAAAGGAAGGGGGAGATGATACAAAAGGTGATAGCTACGGGGGATGATCTGGTGGAGGTGATTCAAGTACTGTTCTTAGGTGGAAGTGGGGTAGGCTTCCCTGAAGAAGTGCGTTTTCAAAGATCGCCTAAAGGCAGGCAGGGTTAGGGCTGACCGGACATGCTGTGGTAGGGAGTTCCAGAGGCAGGGAGAAGTCCTGGAGGCGAGCGTGGGAGGAGCTGATGAGGGAGCTAGAGAAGAGAATATCAAGGGAGGAGCGGAGTGGGTGATTTGGCCTATATCTGTGGATGAGGTTGGCAATGTAGTTAGGGGCAGTGTTGTAAGCTGTGGTTAGTATTTTGAATTTCATACGTTGGGTTATTGGAAGCCAGTGAAGGGATTGGCAGAGAGGGGCAGCAGTCGCTGATCGGTTGGTAAGGTGTATGAGTCTAGCAGCAGCATTCATAATAGACTGAAGGGGGGATAGCCTGTGTAACGGTAGACCAGTGAGGAGGGAGTTGCAGTAATCGAGGCGGGATATAACCAAGGCGTGGATGAGTTGTTTTGTGGTGTCATTGGTCAGGAAGGGGCGGATTTTGGAAATGTTCCGGAGGTTGAGGCAGCAGGATTTAGCCAGTGAGTGGATGTGGGGCCCAAAGGAGAGGTCAGAGTCTAGGATTACTCCTAGCACCCTGGCATGAGGGGAAGGACCAATGGTTGTGCTATTGATCTTAATGGTAAAGTCGTGAGTGGCGGATCGGGGAGGAGGAAATATTACAAGCTCAGTTTTTGAAAGATTGAGTTTGAGGTAAAGATATGACATCCATGCTGATATCGCTTAGTAGATTCGTGATATTTGAGGAGATTGACGGGGTGAGCTGGGGAGTGGAGAGATAGATTTGGGTGTCATCACCATAGAGGTGGTATTGGGAGACATGGGAGGTTATCAGTTGGCCCAGGGAGGAGGTATAGAGAGAGAAAAGGAGGGGCCCAAGGAGGGTACCCCAACAGAAAGGGGAAGAGGAGCGGAGGAGGAGTTGTATGTGACACTGAAAGTGCGCTGAGAAAGGTAAGAGGAGAATCAGGAGAGAGCAGAGTCACGGAGGCCAATGGAGTAGAGTTTACTGAGGAGGAGCGGGTGGTTGACTGTGTCAAAGGCAGCGGAAAGGTCAAGGAGTATGAGTATGGAGTAATGGCTGTTGGTTTTAGCAGTTAGTAGAATGAATTATTACTTAATTTTTTCGTGCCTTCTACAGGGTAAAGATCTATTCCTCTGCATGTCATGTTCTATATACATCTCATTGGTTTGTTGATCACTGATCAGTTAGAGCAGATGTACTAATATCTGTGTCTATACTGTATCATATAATGAGTAAATGTAATTTAAATGAGCCACTGTGGGTCATTGCATGAGCAGATCATGAAAGAAGACACTCAAATGTTATACTATATTAAAACTTAACTAATCCTCACAGCCAGGGAAGCTGCAATCTTGACTTCTTTATAATCTGCAATTGCCATGATGCTGTACATGTGATCAGTTACAGTGCCTTGAAAAAGTACTCCTACCCCTTGAAATTTTCTGCATTTTGTCATGTTACAATCAAAACGTAAATTTATTTTATTGGGATTTTAGGTGATAGACCAACATAAAGTGGCACATAATTGTGAAGTGGAAGGAAAACAATAAATGGTTTTCAAAAATGTTTACAAATATCTCAAAAGTGTGGTGTGCATTTATATTCAGCCCCTTTTACTCTAATACCCCTAACTAAAATGTAGTGGAACCAATTGCCTTGAGAAGTCACCTAATTAGTAAATAGAGTCCACCTGTGTGTAATTCAATCTCAATATAAATACAACTGTACTGTGAAGCCCTCAGAGGTTTGTTAGAGAACATTAGTGAACAAACAGCATCATGAAGGCCAAGGAACACACCAGACAAGTCTTGGATAAGGTTGTGGAGAAGTTTAAAGCAAGGTTAGGTTATAAAAAAATATCCCAAGCTTTGAAAACATCTCATGGAGCACTGTTCAATCTGTCATCCAAAAATGGAAAGAGTATGGCACAACTGCATACCTACCAAGACATAGCCGTCCACCTAAACTGACAGGCCGAGCAAGGAGAGCATTAATCAGAGAAGCAGCCTAGAGGCCCATGGTAACTCTGGAGAGATCCACAGCTCAGGTGGGAGATTCTGTCAACAGGACAACTATTATTTGTGCACTCCACAAATCTGGCCTTTATGGAAGAGTGGCAAGAAGAAAGCCATTGTTGAAAGAAACCATAAGAAGTCCTGTTTGCAGTTTGCAAGAAGCCATATGGGGGACACAGAAAACATGTGGAAGAAGGTGTTCTGGTCAGATGAGACGAAAATATAACTTTTTTGGCCTAAAAGCAGAACTCTATGTGTGGCAGAAAACTAACACTGCACATCACCCTGAACACAGCATCCCCACCGTGAAACATGGTGGTGGCAGCATTCTGTTGTGGGGATGCTTTTCTTCAGCAGGGGCGCTGGTCAGAGTTGATGGGAAGATGGATGGAGCCAAATACAGGGCAATCTTAGAAGAAAACCTGTTAGAGTCTGCAAAAGACTGGAGCCTGGGGTGAGGTTCACCTTTCAGCAGGACAACGACCCTAAACATCCATCCAGAGCTACAATGGAATGGTTTAGATAAAAGCATATTCATGTGTTAGAATGGCCCAATCAAAGTCCAGACCTAAATCTAGTTGAGAATCTGTGGTAAGACTTGAAAATTGCTGTTCACAGATGCGCTCCATCCAACCTGACAGAGCTTGAGCTATTTTGTAAAGAAGAATTGGCAAATATTTCACTCTAGATGTTTAAAGCTGGTAGAGACATCCCAAAAAGACTTGCAGCTGTAATTGCAGCAAAAGGTGGTTCTACAAGGTATTGACTCGGGGGGCTGAATACAAATGCACACCACTCTTTTCAGAATTTTATTTGTAAAAAAAAAATGTTGTAAACCATTTATCATTTTCCTTCCGCTTCACATTTATGTGCAACTTTGTGTTGGTGTATCACATAAAATCCCAATAAAATACATTGATGTTTTTGGTTGTAACACGACAAAATGTGGGAAATTTCAAAGGGTGTGAATGCTTTTTCAAGGCACTGTATGCCCTAGCCATTTCATGGCTTGTTAGTTCAGTTGAGAGCACAAGCAACTGTGACAATTATCATTCATGTCATATCTTGAATGTAACTGTTTTGGAGAACAGTTAAAGTAATGGGCTTTATTTACTAAAGATTGAGAGTGCAAAATTAGACTAACTTCTGTATAGAAACCAATCAGTGTCTAACCTCAGCTGGCTTAGGCAAAAAAACCTGGATGTTGATTGGTTTCTGTGCAGAAGTGAGCCTGATTTTGCACTCTCCAGCTTTAGTATATAAACCCTAATGTGTTTAGTTCCGCTTTAACTGCAGGAAAAAAGCATAATATAGCATCTGGCTAGCATATGTCTATAGGCTGTATATCCTGAAAAGAAAGCTAAAATATACAAATAATAATATTTTTTCACTGTCTTTTGGGACACAACTATTGCATTTTCTTAGGTGACAGCAGTGTGTGCTCTACTCTCTTCTATGAGAGGTTCTATAAACCTATGAACCTAAACTCACAAAAGTGAAGATTTGCTGTTTAACATGGAACATTTAGAAATTTTAATTGTACCTGAGCAGTACCATGGAAAAGCTGTTTATTTGTCTGTCATTCCTTCTGAAAATAACAGTGCACTTACTGGTATGTGAGAGGGCCTAGGCACTTCTGTGCCTATAGCTTCATTGCTGTTTATTTGCAGTGTGAAATCATTGCTGCCACTAACTGTTGGTCTCGTGTGATTAGGAGTTTTAGGAGATTTAGTAATGTCACTATTATGCTGCTCAGTGTTCTCCTTGCTGGAGGCTCTGACATGAGGAAGCATTGCCCTACCTCTATCAAGATGGCCTCCTTCACACAGAGATGCAATGCAGGGCAAGGTATGGTAAGTCTGTAATGGGGAAAGATCAGTTGCAAGGAGACCACAGGCAACACTGGTGACTAGCCCTTTGCCCTCTATCTCCCTTTTTTGGGCACAGATTCCAGAGTGCAGTTGCTCTTTAAGAGAATGAACAAATAAAAGTGACAGAGATTTTATATGACATACGTTGGGAGCAAAAAATGGATCAAGTGTAACAGCAAAACACAGATGTTAGAATGAAATATTTTATACAGTTCAGTACATTTTTCTGAAGAAGCTTTTTTTTTAACAACTATCTATTAAATTACACACACATTATTACCTGACTCTTGGGACAAAAAAAATCTGATAATTTTCTTGAAATATGCAATTATTCATTGTCGCAATTAGTCATTATTCTACATTACCTACTGACTGAGAAAGCAATCATCTAGTGTAGATAGCCAATATTAACAAATGTGAGGCCTATCTATTTTTTGTGAAGGAGTAAAATTTCTGGGCCGTGAGATAATTTTAAAACTTGGTGTTAACAATGAGAGAGAGACTTTCAGATGTGAAAAGGTTTTGCTGGGAGCCAACCTTTGTAATGTATTTTTGAGAATAAGCTCAAACTGGTTTCAGTTTATTTTATTGCAGTGACAAAATTCTTCTGTAGGTGCTCCAAAGCTGTTGTACAGTAAGACAACTTGGAGAATAATCAAAGAGACTAGCACTTATCTAGGCTGCCCTGCGCTAATTACCCTTTTTCTCACTGTTCTCTCTTACCCAATTCCCGAAAGAAATATCAGGACATGTCAAATTTTCATATGTGTGAAGCAAAGACAGATTTAAAAATGGCAGGAGGAAACTGGTACCAGAGCTGTTTATGATTTAGTTAGTTGGGGTCTTCATTGTTTTTTTTTAAATATATACAGAGATTACCCACTTCTAATCAATATTGCACAGGTAGTATAGGAGTAGACAGAAATAAAAAGATCATCATAGTTTCACATAAAATGGCTGATGATTGACTAAATTGTTGTAGAATGATCAGAATCCTCAATGCATGTATGTCTCAAAAATATCATGTTATGAAACTGAAATGTACTTTGCGATAAACAAATTGAAAATCCAATCTAATTACAAATACATCTTCCAATGTATACAATTTCTATACAATTTTATTGTTCCATAATCCAGATGTTTTGCCTTGATTAAGCTGATTCAACCATGTTAAATGTTTTACACTGCACTTAATGAACAACTTCTCCTGTTTTAGTTAATCAGCCCTACTGAATTGTGTAAAGTAGCTTTTCCAGCATAGCTGAGTGATATAATGCTTTATGTGTGAAAAGAAGACTATAGTTCCACTCACTGACTGAATATAAAACTGCATAATATATTTATGAAACATTTTACAACTGCATGTTTATATTTGTACATTTAGTCTTGATCCTCAAAATAAAAAAAAATATATATAAAAACAACAGAGACTTTTTCACTTTCAGATGACTTAGTTAGAGGTGTAGAAACAGTGTTTCGTAGCAAACGTATTCTGCTATGTAACCTTGTTAGGTAACCAATGGTGCTTTGAAAATCCTTGTAATCATGTATTAAATGTTTACTTGTAAAAACAAAGATTATCAATCATAAGGAACGAAATGTTAAAATGTTTGATGATGTAATATTAAAAAAAAACTATTTAAATAAAACTGACCCAAAACTATTATTGTTTCTTTTTAAATTACCATTCTTGTAAGCACTGTATATTTATACACAATATAACCAATTTAAATAGTACAGAATTTAGAAATAAAACTTTTTCTCTGTAGCAGTATTGGCAGAGATTCATAGGAGGGGTAAATTAACACTTTTTTAGTGCACATAATTGTTTAGTGCAGGGACTTATTCATCAAGACCGATTAATTGATAGTAATTTATGAGCAAGCATACATTGTGTGGAAATGTTCTTTTTGACAGTTTTACTAATTTAGAAGGTATTGTGATCCATGAGAACTAACACTTTCCCATTTGACCTAATTCTAACAATGTACAATCTAAATGGGAAAATAAACTTTTTCCATGTATAAACAATTTGTTATGTTCAAGAAAAAAATAAAAGAGCTAAACAGATCTTGTATTTTTCCCCCTCTAGGTCTCTAATGTCAAGAGAATCTCTTGCTTCTACAACTTTAAGCCTTTCTGAAAGTCATTCTACAATGAGTGTGAAACAAGAGTGGTCCCACGCATATAGGATCATTCCCTCTAATCATGGCTCTCAGAATAGTAGTGAGACGAGTGACCTGCTTAGCATTCCTCCAGGAACATCTATGTCCAACAATACTGTTACCAATCCATTGCCTTCATATTTGTTTGGCATAGAGAATAATTCTTCACCTTATCCTAGTCCTAGGCATTCTTCTCCAAGATCACATTCAGCTCGATCAAAGAAAAGAGCACTTTCATTGTCCCCTTTGTCTGATGGTATAGGAATAGATTTTAATACTATTATCCGGACTTCACCAACCTCATTAGTTGCATATATAAATGGCTCAAGAGCTTCTCCAGCCACTATTTCACCTCAGCCTGAAGTTTATGGGCATTTTTTAGGAGTCAGGGGAAGCTGCATTCCTCCAACATGTCCTGGAATAAACTCTCAGAAAAGTCTTCTCGCCATCAGTGATAATGTATCTGTTCCTGAAAATGAATATCAGCGTATGCAACAGCTGGAACAAAGCAACTTACAAGCTGACGTTATGAACAATATGGTGGTTCGACATGGCATAGGGCTAAATGAAGGACAGACAATGGGAGTTTTAAAGAGTGAAAGGGTGGATGACTTTCCAAGTGGCACAATTGAAATGTCATCACAGACTTCCCTCCCCTTAGCAGCTGCTTCTCCTCATCAAGGCCCACCACCACCTTACCATGCCCATCAACACATGCACCAACATGATTTGTTAAATCATTCCCACCAGCTGTCTCTTCCACCTCCTGCACAGGTTCCTCTACTTGAAGAGGAGGGAGAAATAGATGACTTTAATGGTAAGCACTGTTGCAGGTGGATTGACTGTAGTGCTCTGTATGATCAGCAGGAGGAACTTGTACGACACATAGAAAAGGTTCATATAGATCAGAGGAAAGGGGAGGACTTTGCTTGTTTTTGGGCAGGCTGTCCCCGAAGATATAAGCCCTTTAATGCACGCTATAAGCTTCTTATTCACATGCGAGTCCACTCTGGGGAAAAACCAAACAAGTGTACGGTGAGTACTGAAAACTTGAATCAGTTTAAGTAAGTCTTGTTTGCAAGATATTTTTTTTCATTGGTGTATAATATTATAAGTGTCACAGATGGTGAAACATGATTCGCTTTATGGCAGAAGGCTAGTGTTAGTTTGTCTTGACTGGAAGATGCTAAACTATACTACTCAGCTATAAGGCTTGTTGGTAAGCTAAAAGATTTAGTGGAATTCAGTAGATCTTCGGGTGTTAAATGTGCTACTTGGCATCAATAATGTTTAATTAGTGGCAATATTTTTTGTAACATCTGTTACTTGAGTTGTATGAGACCACATTGTAGGTTGCCTTGTTTTACTTTTAAAATGAACACACCCTGATCTAAATAGGGTTCTCCTTCATTTACAATTTTCCAGTTCCCAAGGTGTTGTGTTTGTCCTCTAGCTTCTCTACTTGCTTGATCACTGCATTGGATCAAGTATGTAAGTATGCAGGCCATAAACTTGGAATGTGTGACTTCTGTATTTGTTCCAGGTCAGTGACCAGATGAAACCAGAGGCTGATTACAATGTAGGTGTTTATGACAATAAAACTGATGAACATACACAGATTATCAATAAATCATACATTCTAGTCAGTTAATATCTGATATATTTCGCATGTTTTTTTTATTGGTGTCACGATAATGTTAGTCACTGTTTAGCTGCAATATTTATCTGTGTAGACCTAGTTATTGGGTAGGATAAACTCACACTGAAGACTGTTTTGTTATTTTTAGTAAATTAAACATGTTATGTTAAAACTATAGGGGTTGACAATCCTGACTTCTTTAGAAGTTGGTTGATCCCTAAAAATAAGTTGCAAAAAAAAAAAAAGAAGTTGATTGATCCCTAGCTGCTTGACCAATCACTGAACTCAGAAATACTTGCTGCACACAGTACTTTTTGCCAGTGAACTCAGAACTACTTATTGGATACCTTTTGCAGGTCATTGAATCACAGAAAATAATCCTGGCAGGGAGCTAGAAATTTCTTAAATCAACAATGGCAGCACGTGTATTTCCATCATGACATGTTTGTGCTAAGTTATCAAGCAATAATGTGGTGGCAAATTAGTTAGATAGCAATCTGATAACAAAACTAAATTGTACTCTCTTATCTGATGTGCATTTACAAGTCTCACAAGAAAATATGTATGCCATTTAAGGTGAGTTGCTCATCTCAGGCTCCACTGCAAAATCCCCGAATGCTAGTCAGGTTTGCTGTATTCTGATAAATCAGTCAGAAGCAGAAATTAACTACCGCATTCAGAGCTACAGCAAGTTTTCTTGTTTACTGAACAGAAGAATGGGTTAGCTTTGTTATGTTTCAGAACATGTCAGAGTTGACCCCTTCTGCTATTGAATATACAAGAAAAGATGCTGCCGTCTAAAGTTGAATGATTAATGTCCTTTTTTTGACATAAGGAGAAGTCCATAAGTCACACATCAAACAGCAGACCCATGTGAAATTGTGAATGGCAGCCTCAGCCCAAGCTCTGACCAGGCCATGTCCCCAACGCATTCTGCTCTGCCCTTTGGAGCTTAATCATGGGGATGGGGATTTGACATACATGTGTATGCATGTGTTTTAATCTCAGCTACTTCAGCACATAAAGAAAGGTGAATAAGAAAGCAAGTCTAGCACAGTCTAGTGGATTCTTAAAAGAAATATATGAAGAATCTACTTTATGAAGTGACACCACAATTCAAGCTTAGCCTGTCATGTCCGATCCAGGGCTGGATGGAGATGTCCCCACCAGAATCCTTAATAGCTTTAAAGGTAGTGGACAACAACTTGCAACACTCTAGAGAGTTCTGTTTTAATGATCTAAGATTGAAGATCTGTGGTCTTTCTGCTAAATGGCTTAAAGATCAACTGTTGTCTTAGCCTGTCAAACTTGCAACCATCAAATAAGAGACTTCTTAGGTTTTAAATAATTTATCGATATAAAGGACATTTGTAATACAAAAGTACATAACAATTAGTCAGGCAATCAAACAAGAATAATCTCATATCTATTGTTAATGAATTATTGCATTTTTGCACATCACCATTGCTATTTTTTGTATTCCTTACTGAATAAGTGTCATGTACCTGGTCAGAGGCCGGAGTGCTGAGAGGATTCCCCTTGCAGCTAAGTCCGAAACACCCCTTAAATGTAGGAACAGGAGGTGCCTGGCCCAGAGAAGCAGTGAGTTGAGATGATGATCACCTGGGGTTGGCAGGATCAGTGGAAGAGTTTACTGAGCTGGAGTTCTCCAGACGTGGCAGGCAGAACTTGGCAGTGGACAGATGTTCTTCAGACATAGCAGGCAGAACTAAGCAGACAGCAGGAAGCAAGGTAGGAGTCAGGCTAGAGGTCATGCACAGGTGATCAATCAGGAGTAGGAGCCAGAAGCAAGGTCAGAAGCATGCCAAGGGTCAAACACCAAAGACCATGCAGCAGCGAGGTCAGAGGGATAAGCCAAGGTCATTCACAGATAATCAAGCAGCAGCAGAGTCGGTAGAGCAAACCGGGTCATACACAAGAAGCAGGCAGTAGAAGAATCTGTAAAACAAGCAATGGGAATCCAACAGCAAATAATACAGGAGCACACGGTAACAGGGCTGATGATCATCCAGCAATTTGTGCACCAGAGTGCTGACTTTAAATTGGCCAGTGGGTGCCAGCAACTGTCATGCTTCGTGTGTGCCATGGCGCATCTGTGTGCAGGTTTGCGTGCGTGCACATTCGCATCGGCGAGTGCCCAAGCACCTGTACCCTACGGTTGCACGCATTTCTGCTCAGATTAGGGTGGGCATACCGAGGGTTGGCTGATGTGTCTGTTCTTCTGTGGCTGATCCTCTGACAAAAAGCTCATGCATACCTATGGCTATTACATACTGTATTAAGGTCTTCATATTGAACAGCCTCTTTTTGTTCATAGCAAAGCTCCTTTACCTTGTGCTATTTTCTATGTTAATTAAAAAATGCACATTTTTAATATGCTATAACCACTGTAATATCTATTCAAAGATTTTTGTTTCTTAATTGTTTTAAATAGCAAATGATCATTTGGCAAAATGTGCAGCATAATGACCCAAACAAAAGCCATGCACCTAAATAAACACATATAGTAATCACCTTTTTTTTATTATGATGCATCTTGATTTAACAGTTTCTTTCAGTTGTTCCTCCCATTGCCCATTCTCTCTGTTTTATACTTCCATGTCTTTCTTACCGAATTTGATGAGTATCAGTTTTCTGAAAATTTTCTCAACAAAAAATTCAGGGCTAAAATAGATATTGCCGCATTTTAAAGAGATATTAGTACAATGTGCTTCATATTTCCTATTATGATTTTTCAAATATTTTAAGTTAAGAATGTAATTTTTTTATTTTATAGTTCATAAAAGAGATTCTTTCATGAGTCCCCAAAGGGGTTGCCATTTATGCATGATTGAATCTCACATCACTTAAATAACATCAAGTCTGATTTTCAAATAGAGATGAGCAAATCGTTACAAATTCATTATGTTCCCTAATCACACTTCATGTGGGAATATTTTTCCTTTGAATCCTAGATTTTACCAAAATGAAATATGTATACATATATAGTAGTATATATATTTTTATTTAAGGTGGTGTTGAGGATGATGAGTTTGAATAAGACGATGGTGTGCATCAATCAAAGTAATATGGGTAAACACAAGCAACAAAGGTTCATGCAGTTCCATGGGATGAATGACTTTGCAATGTTTTTATGAATACACCTTTATACTGTATTTTTCACTGAATACTTAGTAAAAACAGGCAAATAAAAACCTGTACCATATTGGTACAAAAACTTTCATAGTTGTGGAGTGTGGCCTTCTGTTAGCCAGCTAGATTTCTCAGTTGAACCACTGGTCAGAAAAAAACAAAAAAAGTACAATACTTTGGGATGGATATACTAAAGGCAAACAGACCGCGCACTCATTTCTCCAGAGCTTAGTAAATGTGGTAACACTTCACTTTGTAAAGAATACCCAAGAGTTTGCAAGAAAAAAAAAAGAATTTGTGCTTGTACGTGATTGGATGATGGAAAGCAGCAGAGATTTACCATATGTACTAAGCTCTGGGGTAAATGAGCACAGTCTATTTGCCTTTAGTAAATCTACCCCAATGTTTATTGTTAGAAAACAGCTAACACATACCTTTTGAAGTTGGACTTGAGAATTTGACTTTCCTTCCTCCACTTTTCCTGGGGAAATTCATGCACCAAATTTCACCTTGAAGTTAAAGATAACTGAATGATCTGCAGAGTGAACGTGTGGAGAAATGGTTCTTTGCTGCAGAAAAATCAAAACGTTTTAAAATGTTGAACTTTTTGCCTCTAACCTAATGCTATGTGTACCAAAAAAAATAGGCACCAATCACAGTAGGTCACATGACAGTTGTATACAATGGATGGCTTCATTCATGCCATCCATTGTATACTAGTGTCTAGCTGTGAATGGTCACAGCTAATCACATGCACATGCCATGTGATTAGCTGTGGCCAAATCACAGCTAAGCACAAAAAAAAAAAAAAACCCTGAATGAATCGATGTCATTCAGGTAAATGCTTGCTTATAGCAAAGTAATTCTTTGCTATAAGCAAATTGTGTAAAAAAAAAAAAAAAAATACTGATCACTTCCCCAAAGTAGTACAATGTTACTATGGTAACATTGTACTACTTTGGACATAGTGAAATATGAAAACAAAATCTAAAAAAAAAAAGAAAAAAAATGTAATAAAAAATGTAAAATAATAAAAAAAATAAAAAAAAATAAAAAAAACATTTTTTTTTTCACACTGTCACCAGTCAGTGTCCCTGATCACTGCCATGCCAGTTATATGATGACGCTGTACTGCACTGGTGACAGTATGTAAAAAAAAAATAGTGAAAATAATTTGTTTTATTTTTTCATTTTCTGAAAAATTATGACAAAAAAAATACAACTTCAAAAAACTCGCCATGCCTCTTATGAAGTACGTCGGACTGTCTACTTGCAA